CAAGACATACCCAAATATTGTAGCGCCACATTACTAGCAGACATTTGAAATTTGCCAACCAGAACGGTCGGATAACCGATGCTCTACTGTATTTAAGTAATTTGCAAAGACCTTATCTGTATACTACTATGTGATACTCAATACAATAGTCTATCTATTAATGTGTTGTAATACAAAGCATAACAGATTGGACCAAATACGCCAGTTCTGATGATCTTGTTTCCAAAACGCATAAAATCAAGGGTTAGAACAGTCGAAAAACTATTCTACACATTACTGTACATGTTCAACATACAGTCAAAATTTGGTATTATCAATTACATCAATAAATGATAATATAAAGTAAAATATACAGCTAGAAAATATTATTTTATAAAAAAATTTAAACAGAAATTTTTATTAACTGATTCATTGATAAAAACAGCAACAACACACATCTTATTTATGAAAAAATATTGTACTGATTAAATTTTTCTTCTTCCCAAAAATAGTCTTTGGTTTTCACATTTAAAATTGGATTCATGAATGTATGATGTCATAAGTAACAACACACTGACAATATTTTTAAATGTGAGTTTCGATGATTTGTTATAGATGAAATTCACAAAGTCACCTTACAGCATTGCAAATGACAAAGTGACTAGCATATGGAAATGTCGGCACTTCCATTGGCTATGGTCAATATATTATAAATTGTACTCCTTGTGAACATTACTCCTACACTTGTTGAGTAGGAGTAATGTTGGAAAGAGGATTGTAATAGAAAAATTAAGAAATTCTATTCTTATTTGGTAGAAACGAAATTGTACTATAAATTATCCTTATTTCATTTACCCACAAATTTGATTGCATATTAATAAAGTCTAATGCAAATGATGCTCATCACTAATACAAAGTATATAGGCTGGTTTTTTCCCCAAGCTCTGATGGTCCATAAAAAAAAGACAAGTGTAAATAACAAAATGAATTTATTACCAAAAGTTAGGTACAAAAACATGGTTACTTATCGACATAATCACCATGAAGATTGAGGCATTTGTCATATCTATGGACGAACTTTACCATCCCCTTGTCATAAAATGTTGCCACCAATGACTCAAGATGGGCCCTAATGTTTTTTTGATGATTGTCATTAGTCTTGACCTCTACCCTCCTAGCCACTTTTCCTGTTCAGAAAAGAGGTGGAAGTTGCTTGGCACTAAATCAAGGCTGTGTGTTTAAAGGTGGTGAAGACTTCCACCTCTTTCCTGAACTGTAAATGTGGCTAGCAGGGCAGAAGTTTGGAACTAAAGATGATCTTCAAAACAACATTGTTAAGGCCATCTCAATTCACTGACAGCAACATTCTATGACCAGAAGATGGAAAAGCTCGTCCACAGATATGACAAATTCCTCAATCTTCATGGTGATTATGTCGAAAAGTAACCTTGTTTGAACCTAACTTTTGGTAATAAATTCATTTTGTTATTTACACTTGTCATTGTTTTACCATCAGAACTTGAAAAAAACTGCCCTCGTAATATACTTTCATTAAATTTTATATGAAACATTACAAAGTATATCTAATTCACCCGTGAACAACTCTTGACCCCTGGACTTAGAAAACAGGAAAATAAAATTTCATTGCTAAAGTCTCATATCATGATGAAATCCTATTTAAGCTGATATTTGCAATGAAGAATAATCAAACTAACTTTGACCTGTGAAAAGATCAGAACAAACTATATATTGTGAGCAATTATTTATTGTGATATCATCACAAAACCAGGTTGCAATTTTTAATCATACTTTTAATTTATTTAATTTAAAATATATGATCTCCACCTCAAATTTGTACTGGAGTGTCTTGCCCCTGTACATCATACTTTTCCTTTAAGAATAGTTGTGCCAGTATTCTATTAACTGCTTTTAGGGGAGAGTTTTGAATTGAAATAATGTGACTTCCAGTTTGCATTGGAATTGTATATAGTTAATTGGGACCTCCTGCACCTAAGGTATAGCTTATATATGGCAATTCTATATCTGGTCTCGCCTTTACCTTTGTCTAATTAACTACATTCTCTAGATTAAGAAAAGACAATGGGAATTTACAGGTCTACAAATATGTTTTCAAATTACAGCCCAATTACTAGCTTAGTATATATTATTTTAGTATCTAACATTATACAGTGTGCAGGCAATTATTGAGTAAGTTAGTATTCAGCATGCTTAAAGTGCAACTCTAAGCATCTGATGGGTTGTATGTTTTTTTTACAAAATTCTTTTGCACATAATATCTACAACAGATTAAAAACTGTCATTTGAAAAATTTTAAGATAAAACAAGTATCCACTAAAACAGCATATGGTCTTTTAGTATATCTTTATACACAAAACACAATAACTCATCACTTTGATTATCAAAAGGAATTATTTTTAATGAATTATAACTACCAAGTTTAAAAACTACATCACCATCTGAACCAAACGATTGCTGTAAATCATATTTGGCTCATTTGGTTCAGTATTAATACATCAGGCTTTGAGATGTTTACATATATGATCATCATCATCATCATCATCATCAATGAATAGACAGAATAATTGAAAGATTTGACATTGACTACAAGCTAACTTTCTTCTGATACCCTTGAAATGGTGACAACCAACACTTCTACTGTTGTCATTAAATAGTGCAGATTATCATGTTTCAGAATCAAGCTTCAAGACTATTAACTTTTGTGTATGAGAGAGAACATTTCCAAGGTGCAAAAAAATAAAAAGTTTAACATTATTTGGATACCAATACATGGGTGTAAGTCATTATGTAATCTATGTTTTTTCTTTTCTAATAAAAAATCAACCACCTATTGTAGACTTTAAGATTTAAAAATGTCCTTCCTTAAGAGGAGAAATAGCAAAGATGGAATTACTGAAAAATGGAAGAAAGCATTTATTTCCATCAATTAATAACTCCTATAATAAGTAGGATAACTCCAGATCAAATTAACAAGAAATAAAAAGGATGAAATTTATTTTAATTAAATACAAAGACAACAACTTTTACATTTTATGTTTTGGATGTTGATTATTTATTGAAACCAAATAAAAAGAATGGAAATGGTCAATTTATAAATAGAATTTTAATGAATATTGGAATATTATTGAGTAAAATTTTTTCAAAATAATTGAAAAACTATTAATTTGATTGAAATAATAACAATCAATGTAAAATGTGAAGAAAAGTATTTTCAAATTTGATACATGCTAAGGGCATGTTTCAAATTTAAGAGCGAATGTGTAGACATACTAAGGGCATGTCTACACATTCACTTTTTGGCAAGCAAACATTTTGCAAATACAGAGTAGTGTGGATTGTTTGCTCATGATGAATGCTCAATATTCACAGTCTCCCAATTCTTGTTGGTAAATTTTGCCAAATCAAAGAATATATGCCTCAATGCATTTTCTTTTTTTTTGGTCATCAGTATTGCTATTTGTCCTTTTTTAAACTAGATCTAAATTTTTATTTTTGAATTTAGTTTTTTTTGTTTGGTTTGGCTTAAATATTTATTTTATTTTTTAGTTTTTTCTGGTCTTTTTTGCAATACATTTTGATTGTTCCTTTTTTAATTCCTTTCTTTTTCATGTTCACATTTTTCTGCTTTGGTGAAGTGATAAAAAGATGGTGGCTACGTATGTTGAGGCTATTTTTCATTAACAGATATGAACTACTCATAACTATAAAAGCAGTGGCATAAATTATTGTTTGAGAATTGTCCATTTTATTTATCTTGGACAAACATTCATCATTTCTGCATTGAACTAATGCTTGTCAAATAATTGAATGCGTACACTCACCAAATAAAACACTATTCAATGAAAGGAGGCAAACATTCGACATTCAGTGAATAGCGAATGTGTGGACACACCCAAATTTTAATATTTCATAAGAAAATATACAAATTTCAGCTAATATAAAGCAAAACTGAATCAACCATTGTAGTTAATCTAAGGAATTATGAATACTGTATAGGAACAAACTACCACTTCTAACTTCTATAATACATTGATCAAAGATAAATGTAAATTTATACAACTTATCCCTTTTAAACTCATTAGGCTTTCACTGTACTGTTCCAAAACACTCACTGCCAACTTTAGTCACTCAAGGTCATTTCACTTTTATTATTTAAAAAAATGTGTGAAAAATCCAGCAATTATCATACACATAGAAAAGAATAGAAATAGTGTGTAATAATTCANTGTTTACTGTAGTAAAGTTTCTTTTGAATAGCATAAAAAATTTCTCAAAAAAAAAAAAAATGACAGTTTGAATATTATTTATAATTTACACAACTCAATCATGGATAAAATTTTTTGATTATATACTTCATTTCCATGAGTAACCCTACATGAATGGCCATTTTGTTCTGTACATTTTGATTAAAACAAATTCAAACAGTTATTTTACACACAGAAATTTCTTGCTTCAAGAAAATTATAAATATTTAAAATAAAATAAAAATAAAATGCCAGTTGATATTAAATATGTGAAACAGGTATACAGAATAACCTACAGTAGGTAGTGCCATCTATGAATGGAATGTTTTATAAGAATCGTAAGTTCTCAGATTGACGATAAATCGTCAAGTGATTTGTTTCCGTAATAAACTACTTGACGATGTACCGACAAATGATTGCAAAACAGTTAAAATACATTTTGTCAATAAACTCACCTTAAGTCCTTTCTCTAAAATTTCTTCAGCCTTGGGTCCTCTGACAGTACAATGCACTGCTATTTTTTCGTTACGACGAATGCCAAAAGATCTGACAGTATAGCGTGCTTTGCTGAAAACTGGCTGTTGACCCGTCAATTGTTCTAACACCTAGTAAAAAACATTTACTATTAATATTTGATAATGCCACTACATTTGAAATTAACATAGAAATTCTGGATTTAAAAAGTTCCAAGAAAGTTATTTGTTTCTAAGTTTATTTTAAAGTAAATTAATGTCTCTTCTATTAAGTAACAAACCTAGATTTTGTAGGCTTGCGTTGCAGGAAGAATTGATTTAGGTATCATGCCAAATGGCACATACAGGATATCACAATAAAATATGTACCCTGCCGATGGATACCATAAATAAAGCATGTATTAAGTCCTAACTTGGAATGTAAAATGATATACAGTAGAATCCACTCGTGAAAATTTTTATCAATCATTTCATGCTATAAGAATTAGTACATTCCAAATATATGTTAAAATACACTCATAAAACTCCGCCTCATTGTAATCAGTTTCAATAATAGTTATCATCTTAAGGTAAATTTTGCAATTTTTAAGCGCTTTTCATGCACTCAGTCACAATAACTGTGCTGCTATTAACTGATAATTGCTCTGTTATCAGTCTTACCCAGTATTTTTAAATTTTCATCCTCATTTATCTTGCAGTACAGAAGTTCAAATTGCCAGGATTTGTTACCTCAATTACACACTTGATAAATTACTATTAACTAATAATAGTAATAACCAATAAATCATCATTTAACAAATTTAGGCTTAAAAAAGCAGCTAATCCATAAAATTTTTAAAAATTATAGTTAAATTAATTAGTATTTGTAATCATAAATTCATCTACCTATTGATAATTTTGTTAAAGTCAGATTCATTATTTTAAAAACTACACAATGCAAATAATAGTCTGAATTATCATGAATTCTAAATTAGCAAGGTTTTACTATGTATTTTTCGTTCTAGAATCATACTCATAATGCAAAACACTCATTAAGTGAAACAATTTTCCCATAGAAATTAATGAAAAATATGATAATGCATTCCACGCCGAAAAAATATTCAAATATTTTATGTATAACGTTTATTCAAGGAAAATTGTACAATGTGAATTGTTAAAGAGCATGAATCATCATCATCTTTTCTTCTAGCATGGAATGAACCAACCTGGAATGCGAATTTGATTTGCAGAAAACAAAAACCACAGATAATGTTTGATAAACATTCCAAACAATATGCCAAATTCTTGGGCTATGTAAAGGCTGTAATTAAAATAGTAATAGAATATATAGACTGTAATAGAAATTCATTAATTTGACTAGAGGTAGGCAGTTAGTTATGCTTCCATCTCGTATTAAATTTAATAATTATAAATAGTTAATTTTTAATTCAGGTATTTCTAAAATTTGGAATTGGTCATTAAATTTAATACAAGATGGCAACATAACTGCCTACCTCCATTCAAATTAATTAATTTCTAATATTTAATTATAGCCTTACATAGCCCAATAATTTGGCATATCATTTGGCGTGTTTATTATATAACAGGCTATGGTTGTTGATGTTTAAAAGTAATGTGTGAACACAAGTTTGTTATGTGGGTGTAAGAACCCTCTCCACTTTAAATGGTAGTACACTCTGTCACTAAGGATTCTATTGAGAATCCTTCCCTAGGACTGGCAACAGGCTGATTGGTCTATATGACTTCGGTTCATTCTTTGGGCACTTGTTCTTATGAATAGGCACCCGAAGAATGAACCAAAGTCATATAAATATGGAAAAATATTGCAGAAAAATACGTAATCACAAGCGACACTAAGATGCTAGTGGAGTGAGTGCAGAGTGCTAATCACAGACTGATGCAGCATGCACACAATTCAGGACTTTCCCTCTCTTTGTCACTCGTTATGCGAAACTCCACTGTATTTTGAAAAATATTTTCACTAGTAACATACTATTATAATGACGACTGCTAGCTAGACAAAACCTAAACAATTATAACATGCAAAATGCAAGAATTTATAATGAAAATAGCACAAATCTAAATTAAATAATTAATAAAATCAAACAAAATTCTTTTCTAATTTTAAAAAACTGCCCAAGATATTGAATTTCTTTTGTGTGCTCAACATACGGATATTTTCATTTGAGCTTTGTGGATCTGATGATGGAATGAAATAGTTTCATAAAACATTTAATCAATAAAAAGACTTGACTCCTACAATCTACTTAGCACTTGTTTTCCTCCTTTAAAAATTACTGTAGAATCTTAAAAACAAAATAACTCGCTCAAACAAATGATGACAATCTAAGTTACACATAAATAAGATCAACAAAGGTATCTATCACAATATACAATAATCTCAGGCAGATTACACCTAGCAGCCTATACTCTGCAGAAAATTGCAAAAAAAATAAATAAATAAATAAATAAATGAATAAAATCTTTGTATAATCTACCCTACTGTATATCCCATGTCTCTAAGAATGCCATTGAAAGCAAGATAATTACTGATATGCAGTTTAGAAATTGCCATCTCAAGCCATTAAATACAGTAAAGTCCTGGAAACTCAAAATTTCATAAAACTAATTATACCACATCCAAAAAAAAAGAAGAAATACATATATATATATATATATAATCTAAAAAACAGAACAAACAAAACTGTTTTTTTTTTCTAGTGTTTTTTGCATGTTAATTAATATATTTTATTTTACTGTGCCATCACCTTGGAATGTTTCAAATTTTGTTTTGTCTATTACAGTGAAAAAGTAGCTTCTAATATAGTGGGTGATCAGTTAACGAACAGTTTGAACTGTAAACATATCAGACAACAAATATTTTTGCGATAGATTTTTATGTTCAGACAACAAACACAAAAAGAAGAGACATAAAATAATGAATACTGACTGGTCTTCCCTTGTCTCCAGGTGACAATTCAAAACCTTTCAGAACACAGGAGACATCAACACTGACACTCAACTCAACACCAATCAGATAGTATTCCTCCAAACTTTGAAACTCTCACTTGTTAATTCCAGCCTTTTGTTTACCTTTCTGACAAAGAATTTTTTAGTCTTCGCAAGAATGTTGGGCACTACTTAAGTTTTGCATTGGTTTTTAATTTTCGAATGGTGAGAGTTTAACTGTCCCATTGGTTTTAACACCAAATTTCGAATTTTGTCCGGACCTCACATTTAAATAATGTTTTTGTATAGTAGTTCATTTCTGTTCTCTGAATTTTTGTAAGTGCTTTTCTGAACTTTTTATTTAGAAAAGAAACTGATAATATTATGGAGCCTAAAAAGAGTGGAGTGTCAAGAACTGTGCTCACCATAGAAACCAAGCAAGAGATAATAGCCAAGATAGAGCGAGTTGACAGATGCCTGGTGGTGCTAGGCAGTATGACTTGAACAGGTCTACAGTAGGCACAATCTTAGCTAAGAGATATAATCAAGAAGACTCAAGCAGATGAAGGAGTAACAAAAATCACATCTGAGAAAAAAAATATGTCATCCATTAAAAACTGGAGAGAGTGCTTTTAATTTGGATAAAAGAAAGTGAAATGAAAAAAGATGTAACTAGTATGATAATAATTCAAGAGAAAGCTATTGGCTCATTCAGAAGGCGTGGTCAGAAGTCACTTAACGATAGTTGAATTCTGCTTGGCAAAAGCTGTCCCCCTCCTGCATTCAGAAAGATGAAATAATGTCCCTAAAATTATGAATAAAATTGTGACAACTGTGAGAGATCTTGAATTGGAGGCGAATAAAGTTGACATCGAAGAGCTCATAATGGAACCTAAAACTGATCTGATAAAAATCTCAGAGAGACATGTTTTCTTCTGAAAAGAGGAAGACAAAAAGAGGACCAATGCTGACTTTTGAAGTGGAGGATGTCAGAACAACAGTCTTAGAATGGCATCCAAACCAGGTTCAGGTTAATAGGCACAGGAATCTCTACAATGACAATGCTATTAATTAATTCCAAAAAATTGTGAAGAGAGAAAAAGTAATCAACATTGGACAGATTCTTTAACCGATAAAAGGTTGACTTCACCAGAAAGTTTTGTTTCTAAGGTGTATGAAAGGACGTGAAGAGTCTATAGTTTCTTCTATTTTTTAAATATTAATGTCACTCTGGACAATATTAACATGCCATCTAAGTTTTACCCCCATAACTTAACACCAGGATCTATAACTTATTGTTCTTCACTGGCATCATTTCATAATAGCATCAATTCCACATGTTAACAAAAAATATAACCCTTTTCCAAGGTTCTACTGCAAAATGCCACAACATTAATGTCACTAACTCAAAAGTAGCCACTGAGTAGCAAATATACTGTATATTCCGGCATATAAGATGACTTTTTAACCCAGGAAAATCTCAAAAGTCGGGGGTCATCTTATGCGCCGGAATATATGGTATATTTTTTAAATTAAAATTTAACTACAAATAGAAATAGTACTATTTGTACTGTACATAATCAAATATGCACATAAACTTGCATGTATAATACCTTTACAAAATTCCCGTTATTTAGTATCATTATGCCCCAGTTTTCATATCTGGTCTTGCCTTATCTCCATTCACAAGATTAAGGACAGATTATTATGGAAATTTATAATCTACAATTTTTTTCAAACTGCAGCCCAATAATTTTTTTTAAAAGACAGGCAGTTAGACCCATTATCTTATATTAACATCAACTAATAATTACAATAATTTTTGAACTAATTTGATTCAAAATTAACAAAATCAAAACTAAAGATGGCATTATCATTTTGCTTTATTTTTAAACTCCAAAATCTAGAAATCCATTTTACATTAATTAAACTAATATTTGTTTGAAATGTAAAATATTAAATAACTTTCACTCCAAACATATGTTAACAAAGATAACAGCTTAGTATAGTGCAGGGAATGGCAAACCATGGCATGTTACATAATATGCAATTTCAGTTTATTGCCTGATCATTTTTTTTCCAATCAGTTTTTTTACATTTATTCTAATAAAAGCATATTCATTTCATTTCTTTGAGTATTGTTAACTGAAGTCTAAAACTTCAGTGCACACAAACATTTCTAA